GCCGCAGCCCATGCTCTTGTGCCCAAATTGGCCAGAAGCTTGGATGCATTCTTTTTTTGCAAACCTTAATTCCGGCCCGGGGCTTGGCCCTAAACCCTAAAGTTCCCTACCAAGGACAGTGGCAGTTGCGCCAAGGGCAGCCCCTCACTCGTGCGACTCTTTGGGGGGACACAGACGCGGTGCTGGTGAAACATGTGAGGAAATACCATGAGAACCTGGCATCGATAGACGGGGTGCAGTGGTGGAAGTTCTTCGACCCGTCCGAAGACTAGGCCAGGTTCTCGTGGCTCCCATCTCCTCATCCGACTGCCATCCGACTCCCATCGCTTCATCAGGCTCGACGACAGTCCCATCGCGCCATGCTTGTGACGTGTCGAGGTCGGTGGTGCTCGGATTTGGGAGTCTTGGGGCCATGGGCCATGGTGGGCCGAAAGCTCTGCAATCTGACTCGGATGCAGACTTGAAGTGGTGGACGACATTCTTTTCAGCCCTTAGGGCTCGACGGCAGTCCATCGCTGGGTGCGTGACTTCTAGTACCAGTACCACTGCCACTACCATTACCACTAAGACTACCACTACCAGTAAAGACCACCATCACTGGAAGTCATGACCCATCCGGCTCAGTAGACTATCATTAATTAGAGCAGCACGCTGGCACCCGTGATCTGCTGCATCTGCAAAAATGTGCGACAGTATAGGGTGCAGGCCAGGCAGGCAAGCTTTGGGTAATCAACCTCGCTTGTAGGCTTCGTGGGACGGCTCTGGGCTTTCACAAGGCTTCGTGGGAAGAGGAATTCGAGGCTGCGGACCCCTAAACCAAAATGTTATAGAGGTTTATTGAATCAAGGAAGTCAGCACCCTTTATGACGTATCCTGTTCGGTATCGATCCGACTGCCCAGGCCTTGCCACAGCGGCCAGAATGCAACGCAGTTGCCCCAGTATTTTCGAGCAGCAGTCTGCAGACGAGCCGTGTGAAGATGAGTAGGCTTGGCCTTCAGTAGGATGAGTGTTGCTCAGAGCAGCTTTGATGTGCATCTTTTTACAACACAACTGTGATTCTCTACAGTTGCTTCCCACACAGCTGGGTAATGCAAGCTCTTCCTCTCTCGGCAAACACCTGAATCCAAGCCCAAACGAGTTCTAAGTTATTCTTGAACAACAAGTGGAAGCACAAGATAACTGCCCACAGAACAACAGGTACACATCCATCCAAGGCGGGTTGCGGACATGCATGTTCGGTGTGGTTGCTCAGGGCTCGACAGTTCAAACTTTGCTCTTCCTGTTGTGCACAGACTTTTGTGTGTGGTGGAACGGGTCTGAAGGCTTTGCGAATCTGCTCTAGCACGTTTTCCTGTGCAACATCTGTGCTGCTGTGCAGGCCAAGGAACAGATATAACCTGTCGCATGAAGGTATGTTTTGGACTGTGCTTTGCCACTGTCTGCTCTTGTTCCTTAGTGTCCTGTGCACAACTCGTGCGGCATTCTTCGTGTTGTTCAGGGTAACATAGCAAAAGCCAGAAGCGCTTGTGCAGGGCATGTTTGGCCATTCCTCTACAGGGTTTGACAAAGCTATGCTAATCTTGTCTGATGCAGTCTCGTGTGCAAGAGCTGTGTTTCCAAGACTAGTTGACAAGCTGTGCCAACCTTGCACGACGCGGCTGGATTGTGCAATATTTGTGTTTGCATGTTTGTGTTCCTTTCTACCATGAACAAAGCTGAAATAGGAGTTTCCTGGCGGAGCGCCTGCCTTGTGCTTCTGTAGCCTTGTGGAAAACCTCCGCTGTCCCAGACTTGCTCCGAGTTGTTCTTTGTTCAAGTTCGTTTGTGTTTCTGTTTACAGGTTTTATCTGACCAAGTGCGCCTGCCTCTGGTGAACAGGTTTTGTGCGTTTGTTGCCCTGCGGAAACTTATCGGTGTCCTTTTTGTGCCTTTGTTTTTTGCCCCTGCAAACCTTTGTCCTTGCTCTACCTCCCAGTTGAAGTCATACACCCTTTGTCTTGAATCCTGTGTGAGCAGGTTGAGTGCTTCTGTTGCTTTTTGGAAAGAGTTCCACTGCTCCAAACTTGCTCCGGCCTTGTGCGTTGTTGTTTTGTGTGTTTTCCTGCTGAACAGCATGGCTCCCTACTGGCACACACACAAACACACACACACACACACACACACACACACGCACAGCGGGCATTTTTGTGAGCAGGTTTTGTGCTTCTGCTGCCTTGTGGACAAGTTCCGCTGCTCCAAACTTGCTCCGGGTTGTCCTTTGTTATCGCTTTAGTGTAGTGAAATCCAGGGCCGTGATTCAATTAGGCCGTGAGCCTGCCCTTTGCGTGAGCGTACTTTGTGCTTTTCTTGCCTTGTGGAAGCCCTCGGCTGCTCCAAACTTGCTCCGGGCTGTCCCTTGGTTGTAGCCATCGCCCACGAGATAAACGTGTATGTGGTGTCAACACCTTGCCTTTGCGAGCAGGCTTTGTGCTTCTGTTGGCTTCCGGAAGAGATCCACTGCTCCAAACTTGCTCCGAGATGTTCTTTGTTTCTTTGGGTCTGTCGCGGTTGGGGCCCAAAGCCATTGTCGTCAAAGAGGCAGGCTTTAAGCTGATGTTGAGAGCTTGCCTTCGTGAGCAGGTTTTGTGCTTTTGTTGCTTTGTGGAGAGCTTTCCGCTGCTCCAGACTTGCTCCGAGTTGTTGTTGGTTGCAGTTTTGGTCATTGAGAGAGCCGGCCTTTGTGAGCAGGTTTGTGTGCTTTTGTTGCCTTGTGGACAACTTCCGCTGCTCCAAACTTGCTCCGGGTTGTCCTTTGTTATCGCTTTAGTGTAGTGAAATCCAGGGCCGTCATTCAAGTGGGCTTTATCTGATACCGCGAGCCTGCTTTTTTGTGTGAGCGTACTTTGTGCTTTTCTTGCCTTCTGGAAGCCCTCGGCTGCTCCAGACTTGCTCCGGGTTGTCCCTCATCGCCCACGAGATAAACGTGTATGTGGTGTCAACACCTTGCCTTTGTGAGCAGGCTTTGTGCTTCTGTTGGCTTCCGGAAGAGATCCACTGCTCCAAACTTGCTCCGAGATGTTCTTTGTTTTTTTGGGTCTGTCGCGGTTGGGGCCCAAAGCCATTGTCGTCAAAGAGGCAGGCTTTAAGCTGATGTTGAGAGCTTGCCTTCGTGAGCAGGTTTTGTGCTTTTGTTGCTTTGTGGAGAGCTTTCCGCTGCTCCAGACTTGCTCCGAGTTGTTGTTGGTTGCAGTTTTGGTCATTGAGAGAGCCGGCCTTTGTGAGCAGGTTTGTGTGCTTTTGTTGCCTTGTGGACAACTTCCGCTGCTCCAAACTTGCTCCGGGTTGTCCTTTGTTATCGCTTTAGTGTAGTGAAATCCAGGGCCCTCACTCAAGCAGGCTTTATTTGATACCGCGATCCTGCCCTTGGTGTGAGCGTACTTTGTGCTCTTCTTGTTTTGTGGAAGCCGTTGGCTGCTCCAGACTTGCTCCGGATGGTTTTGCACTGCACAAAACACAAAGCCTGGTTCTTGGCCTATAACTTCTGGGTAAGTATGTATGTGTGGGTTTTGCGCAAGTCCTTTGCGGTACTTTCCGGTTTAGAAGAAAGATAGGGTCAAACTGGGATTCAAGGTGTTGCAGTGTTTGCTCAGGTCTATGTGCAGGTTTTGTGCTCCCTTGGCCTGCTGTAAGAGTTCGTTTGCTCAGATGTGGCTCAGTTCGTTTGCTCAGGAAAAGGCTTTGTCTGGTGCTTGCAAGGACAATTGCTGTTGTGCACACGCACCTCTGTGTCAGCAGCTTTGGTGAGGTCACCTTTGCTTCTTTGTCCTTATCGGTTCAAAACTTGCTCTCGTTGAGATATTCTGGTGAGGCCTGAGTCTTAAAAAATGTGGAAACGCACCTTTGTGTGAGCAGCTTTGGTGCGGTCACCTCTGCTTCTTGAAGGTTTTGTGGTTCAAAGCTTGCTCTCGTTATTCTGGCGAGCCTTGAGGTTTTAGTCATGCGGACACGCACCTCTGAGTGAGCAGCTTTGGTGCGGTCACCTCTGCTTCTTGAAGGTTACGCTGTTCAAAATTTGCTCTCGTTATCCTGGTGAGTCTTGAATAATATCATGTGGACAGGCACCTCTGTGTGAGCAGCTTTGCTGCGGTCACCTTTGCTTCTTGAAAGTTATGCGGTTCAAAACTTGCGTTCGTTCTTCTGGTGAGTCCTGAGCTTTGAAAAATTGGGATGCGCACCTCTGTGTGAGCAGCTTTGGTGCGGTCACCTGTGCTTCTTGAAGGTTATGCGGTTCAAAACTTGCTCTCGTTATTCTGGTGAGGCCTGAGTCTCAAAAAATATGGACACGCACCTCTCAGTGAGCAGCTTTGGTGCGGTCACCTTTGCTTGTTGAAGGTTGTGCGGTTTGCTCTCGTTATTCTTGTGAGTCCTGAGTTTTTTTGGCACAGGTTCGAGCCCAACAGCACGGAGCAAGACTTCAGCGGTGTACAAGCCCCAACAATAACGACTCTAACCTGCTCAGATTTAGGCATTGCTTTGCAACATAGGAAAGACATCGTTCAAGAGTTCGTTTGCTCAGAAATACCTGAGTCCAGGAGCATAGTCTGAGAACGTGGATTGTTAAGCAGCTTACAGGTGACAAACAAAACTACAACATCCCGAAGCGATTATTCAGCAGCGGGAGTCTTCAACAAGAATTAATCACAAGACCTGCCCGTCGAGACAGGCAGTCGGTAAGCACAGCGCCTGCGCGTGCATCGAGCAGGCACCGGGCGTATTGTGAAGGGGTTACTTTCATAGAATTTGCTTTCTGCCTTTGGCATGATTTCTGCGGCCCAGTCTTGTGGTGAAATCGCAATGTTTACTTCTGGCATGCATGCATAGAGAGCGAACAGCCCAGCCTGTGCGTCATGCTGCAGACACTTCCTGCTTGATAGTGCCCTAACCTGCTGTGTCCTCCGCAGAAGCCTCTCAAGCCGAGAGCAGTGTTGCACCCTCCCTTGCTCTCTTCTTACTTTCCATCATGGAGGGCTTCGCTTTGCGTGAAGGAGTGGTCGACACTTTTAACTTCTATCCGACAGCCGAGATGTGCGTTGCGAACATAGTCAAGATCGCAGCACGCAAGCTGCTTGGAAGCGAGTCGGTGCATTGATTACTTATTATACTTGTTTGCACAGTAGTTTTCTCTGATATAGACATACAGACTCTCAAGGCTAGAGAAGTGGATCTCTGAGCCGGTGCCACCCATCGATGAGCAACGGCCGCAGAAGCGCTGCAAGACGAAGGCCAGCAGCAGCATCAAGAGGGGCTCGATGGATGCGATTGCCGAGAACAGGCCTTTGATGGTCTACGACCCCGAGGGTCCTGTCGTCAAATACCTCACGCAGACGATTCCGTTGGTCAAGGTCGAGATACCGAATGCGACAGAAGCCGCAGCGGGCAAACGACTTGTGCTGAACAATCGCAGCGATGCAAAGTTCCAAATTCCCAAGTACGTCTTGGAGGGCAGCTTGCCTCTGGGCTGGAAGATCACGTTGATGGACACGAAGGTCAAGCTGGCTGTGCACTACTTGGACGATTCCCAGGATTCATCTGCAGGCCCGTGTCTTGACATGCGGTCTGTGCATAGTGGCCTTGGATTAAATCAAGTGCATAGGCCGAGTTTTGGTGTAGCAGCGGCTCCTTTGTCAGGACCTTGGCGGTTCTACTACTTGATGGACCCATCCATCGGCAAGGCCGTGCAAAAGGCTCTGGGCCGCAACACTGTGCCCAAGAAGGACATCCATCCGGATTCGTTCCTGTACTTCACGGCTTTTAGCGCGCCCGTGCTGCTTGCTTGGCTGCTTAAGGAAGGGCAGCAGTCGGAGCCACCCGATTAGATTTAGTAGAGATATGCATCACTGCTTGCCTTGGTTGTGCAGAGTGTCGCTTGCCTTGGTTGTGCAAAGTGTCATTCTTTTCAGCTCAGGTTCCTTTGTTCGGAGGCCAGCTTCACCCATCTGCCCGAGGACATTGAGAATGTACAGGCATGCCCTTTGACGGCTTCCTGTCTGAGCTGGAGTACAACTCTAAGGGTTACGTTTGGGACAGGGTTTAGGAAGTACGTTTTCAGAACTTCTTTGCCTTTTCGGACTCGAATACCTCCAGGAGTACTGGATTTGCCAATGTGACAGCAATCCGAAGACGAAGAAGATGACCGTCAAGGTGACGTTGGAGACGACCTTTCAGCAAAGCCTCAAGGAGGCGAAGGTGGCCCACATGGAGCGCAAGATCCGCCGCAAGCAGCAGCAGCTTCGGGTGCTGGAGCAGCGCTGCGAGGGCTTGAAAGAGGGCTATGCTGAGGGTGAGGGCATGAAGTTTCCATCAAGCAGTGCTTATCAGGGTCCCAATGACAGGGAGGCCTCGACATCATCGTCGGATGCCGAGTAGATGTGCAGCTGCGCATCCCAATTTTACATTTGATTTCTATGATGGGCTTTGTGGCGCATCCATCATTGAAGGGTCCGAGCATCCATCCCAGTGAGGGCTCAGGAACCATTGTACAAGGGGCTGTTGGAGCACGAGCGACTGGAACATGTCGCATTTTGCATTTCCTTCAGTCCTTGGTGAAGTACGCAGCCACGACCCGCCTGAGAAAGATAACGCAATATGTGCTTGCGCATCGGGTTCGCGTGGGTGAAACTGACTGATCAGGAACCTCGTCGACATATTATATCTTTCCGTTCACACCTTGTCTGATCTTGCAAAGCATGAGCCCTGAGAAAATGCACAACCTTCATACTAGGAGTATAGAGGAATGAGGGTGGTTAAATAGCAATCTGACTCTAGGCGTAGAAGGCCTACCTAGATACTGGAAAAGGCGGCGTGCTCCCTCGCCGCGACTACGTTTTGTCTGGGTTTTGAAGATGTAGGCCATACCCCCTCATCGCGGGTATCTGTTTTCTAGGTCGCCAAGTTGTAGGTGGCATGTCCCCTCGCCGCGATCTAGGTTTTAGGCGTCATGCCCCTCGCCGCAAATAGTACTTCGTATCTAGGTCCCAAAATCAGAAGCTCTCGCATAGTTCACATTCCATTTGCATCCGACGACAGACGAAATCAGTATGAGTGGGCTAGAAACTCAGGGTTCAGGTGTTAGTCCAAACAGTGTTTGGCCGCAAAGTGCCGACTGGGGTTATGGGAGATGTGTTTACTATGATCTAGGTTTCGGGGATGTGTGTTGGGGGCAAGTTTTCAGCGGGTTGGTCGTTCAGAATAATCACACTGATAGCAAGCAATCTGCTGACATAGGGGCACGATAGCAGAGGTTCCAAGCCAATGCGTGTTTACATTGGTGCATTGTCAGCAACAACAATTGCTCAGCAGATTATCAAGTCCAATGAGTCAGGCTTCAGCAACAACAGCCAGTGTTCATGAGACTGGCCATTCTTAGATATTGGGCTCATCTGTCATATGTTCTTGATGCAGAAATTGTTCAACTGCTCATATCCGTTGGAAGCTCTTTGGCCGGGTGGGGTTCTGTCCTCCAATGGCAAGAAAGAGGAAACCGGGACGGATAAAGATAACGAGAGAGAGAGAGAGAGAGAGAGAGAGAGAGAGAGAGATAGAGACAAAGAGACAGGATACATATAGAGCCCTCAGGGGTGTGCTTCAACGCGGGGAGGGTGTTGTAGGAAGTAGCAGAGAAAGAGCGAGAGAGAGAGAGAGAGAGAGAGAGAGATAGAGAGAGAGAGAGAGAGAGAGAGAGAGAGAGAGAGAGGGGGGAAGGAGGGAGGGAGGGAGCAGAGCAGAGAGAAAGACCTGGGAAACAGAGAGTCATAGAGACTCATAGAAAGAGAAACACAGAAAGAGAGAGAGAGAGAGAGAGAGAGGGAGATGTGTATTTATTTATAGAGAGAGTTTCGCCAGAAAAAGACAACTAACAACTAACAGAGGAACCCTGACCTTACCTGCGGTGCCGAACCATGGCTTAGGTCCACCAAACCACACGGTGCGCTCACATGCACAGGCCCATTTGTTGGGGTTCCGGCGACACACAGACTAGCAGAGAGGAGCCCGAATAGTGAAGACAGTTAGCGGGACTGTCAGGTCAGGCCAACCTTAAGCGTCCCTTGGCAGGCCAAGGACGGTTAAGAGCAGCGATTTCCGACCCGTAGCGACACTTCGACAACATCATGATTCACGTAGTGGCACTTAAACACCCGCTACGTGTGAACAATCCGCTCCCTTAACTGTCCTTGGCCTGCCAAGGGACGCTTAAGAACACCAGCGACCGATGTCTTTCTTAACTGTCCTCAGCCATTTTGGCTCCCGTGGGTGCCCCTGCAGAAGGGCAGAGTCAGTGACGCTTAGTGGATGTGCAATTTCAACCATCAACTCACTCTCTACATCTCTCACTCTTGGTCGTAGGTGTGTTCGGTTGTTCCTCTTCTTGCAAAACCATGGCCCCAAAGTTGAAGGTGAAGAAGGGCAACAAAGCCCTCAAGAAACCGGCTGCAGCGCACAGTGTGGTCGTGTCTTCTGGACAAGGCTTCACTCCCATCTCTGAGCCGAAGACGACGCCGCTCGATCTTCAGGACTTCATCGGCGAGATGATGGGAGTGCTCGGTGTGGGCCCAGCACAAAGCCCAAGGACTTTTGCCATGGCAACAGCATGCTCAGGGTCGGGCGCGCCGACTTTGGTGTTGCAGAAGATGTTGCCTTTCATCAAGGAGATGATCGCCTGCGACTCGAGCCCGAAACTTGCCTGATTAGCCTGGCGGCACTTTGTTTGTTTCGTTATCAGTCAGCATTTCGCTTTGTTGGAGCCACCGCCACAGGAATGCAGCCCACTGCTGCTGTATCAATGTCCGCCAGACACCGGACCATTTTTTCACAGATGTTCTGGAGCTGGCAAGCTCGGGAAAAGACTACTGCCATATCCATCAGAAACGCTGCAGCATGCCACAGCCGGAACTGGAGCTTCTGGTGGCGGGGTATCCGTGTCAAAAGAACAGCCGCCTCAATCCGCAGCGCTTCAGCGAGGATCCAGCTGATAGTTATCAGGCCGACGTGCTCGTCGGCATCCTGGAGCTCGTGAAGAGGCTCCGGCCACGTTGCTTCGTACTCGAAAATGTGGCTGGTCTCAAAGCGGTAAGGAAACCTGACAAGGATGGCACCATGTTGGATTGGGTCAACGCAAAACTCAACGAGATCTTGCAGGGCTGCGACTATACATGGGAGCATTTCGACATCCAGGCTTACAGGCTGCGGCTTGTCTGAGCATCCGAGACATAGTACTCTTCTCCGTAGCACTTCCAAGTCCAAGTTGGTATATCATGATGGAAATACAAGCCGAGGCCAGCACCCCGTGCGCGTGTGTACACCATCGGTTGCTTGAAGGGGGCCGCCAACTTGGCCCAGATTGCTCAAGACATACTGAAATTGTGCCCAGGCTGAACTTAGTGCATCCATCGTCCCAAAATAAAAATAACAAAACTCGGACTGAGGCAGAGGCATCTCGAGGCCCGACCGACCACCCATCTGATCCATTCGTGCGTGCTGGAGGCGGACGAGGACACGGTCACCTCTAACAGGGCTGTTCCCACCCATCAAGTGGTCAGTGTGACCACCGCAAAACGTGCCTTGGACTGGTCATGCTGTCTTTTGTGTGAGGCACCATAAAAGCTTCTTCGTGATGTTTGGGAAGTTTGCAGGTGAGTCCGAGTACCAGAAGTGCTTGGCGAAAGCCTTGGAGGCTGCCGTGAATGCCAGGAGGTTGCCCAAGAACTTCGAAGTCACGGAGCACTTCTGCAACATGGCATCGAGCCCTTGGATGGATGCACAGCTGACTGTGTGCCTGGACTTAAACCCTAAATCCTGACAGTCAGATCCAAGTGTGTTTGCAGCACGGTTTGCTAGCGTTCCTTAGCTTAGTTAAAGAGGTACAATGCCATCGTCCACGAGCAGCTGCAGCACATCCATCTGGCGGGCGGCAACCTCCATCCTGCTGCGGATGCGGGGCAGAGCTGCGGCAGGGGGAATGTGGCCGTGAACGGCTCCATCCCTTCTGTCTGCACCTCTTCCCGCATCTATTCCTTCCATCTTGGGAGGAGCCTTGGCTATTTCTTTTAGGGTTTAGGCCTTGGGCTATTTTTTTTAGGGTTTAGGGTTTAGGGTTTAGGGTTAAGGGCTGGTGCCTCAGGTTCTTCAAGGCGGGGGAGCTCATGAATGCCCTGGGGTTCCCATCCTACATCACAGACGGGCTGACGGAGCCGCAGGCGATGGGCTTGATCGGCCAAGCGATGGCGAGCACGTCGTTGACGGTCGTTTCTAGGTAGGGCTTTGGGACATTTTATAGTTTCTCTTATTGGGCTTAAGAGGATATTTTTTCAATAAAAGCTCCACCTAGGTTTTGCTGCCGGTAGTGAGAGCCCTGGGGTTCACCTCTCCGGCCTGAGCCGCTCCGATCACCCATCCAGGGCGTGGTATGAAAACAGCTGCGTGTCCCATCCAGTGTTCGAGCAGTGCAGACTCCAGTCCAGCTGTCATTGTGCATGTCTGGAGCTTTTGCTTTCTGCTTGGAGGCTCCGAAGCCTGCGCGGGCCCGTGGCCCAGCCAGAGTGGAAGTGCATTTGGAAGGCGGTTTGGCGAAATAGGCTTTCTATGGACGATGTGATTGCTTCTGACAGGAACTAGTGAGCTTTCTGAAGCCACTTTCTGACCACATCCATCTGGAGTGTTAAGCTGCTGAGAACTGTGTTTTTCATCATTGGGAGTGCCTAATATCTGAAGCTCACTGCTGCAGGCCATGCCATTCCTCACTACAGTCGCGAGGACCGAGGACCGGGGTTTCTGAGCGCTGAACAGCAGACAGGGAGGAATCTGTACATGGAGCCAGACGGTGGCTTTGCAATTCAAGTATGATTTGAGTAGCAGTTTTGGCCTGAGCAGGGTTAGGCCTCGAGGCACGCCAGCAAGCCTCCCATCCATGCCCCCGGCGGTGAAGATGGAAGTGAAGATGGAACCGGAAGTGAAGACCGAAGTTGGCAGCCCATCTCGACGATGTCGTGTGAAGACCGAGCCTGCTGCGGTGGAGCAGTCAAAGCAGAAGAAGAAACAAGTTGGGAAGCCATCTGCTTGGGAGGTTCGTGTGGCCAAGATCAAGAAGCAGATTCGCGATGAAGTGCGCAAGGAGCTGAAAAATAGCTACTCGCGCAGATTGCGCAAATTCAAAGTGCAGCAGCTAGCTCGGCAAGTGGCACTGGAGAAACGAATGGATACTTTGTCCAATCGAGTCCAAAGCTTTCTGAGCAAGATGGAGGAGGAGTACTTCTTCGGAGAGGAGTTTAGTGCTTCATCTGACTCCGAGACCGCATCCGAAGAACAGGATCCAGATTACGCCGAGTTCATCGATGGCATTGCTGGACCGGAACAGGTCAAGGAGAACACCGCCCCCATCCCAAACGACAGCTTGCCTCATCCGCCTTTCGAGCAGCTTGACGACGCGTGAATTGCTTCGCAGTCCAGAGTCGGTGAGACTCAAATTGGGGGAATTGGGGTCTGCTTCCATCCATGAAGCATTGACCGTGTAAGTTTTGTTTCATACATCCAGGACTCACGGCCGTGCATCAAATGTGACTGTTTCCTTCGCATGCCCTGGTACCGTTTGCAGGCATGGTTACAGCATGCAGCACTCAAGCTCAGTCCTTGCTTCAACCAGGAAAGCTGGGCGCAGATGGACCGTTCACCCCTCGGGCAGGTTTTCGAAGTGTATTGGGATTCACACAGAACCTTGAATATTTATTCTGCAGAAGCATGCCTGACTCATGATGTCGTTTGCTACACCTTGCCCACGCTCGTAGGAGGTTCGTTGGCACAGTTTGCTGAACAACATCTGCCTCTGCCCTGAACAGAATCAGAACATAGGCCGAAGATCCTGGTCCAGGCTCTGAGCAAATATTAGCCAAGGCCCCATGTGTCGGTGAAACTTCATCGCACAGCATCTGAGCAACATCGTGTGCAGCCCGCCAGGTCCCTTCGGCACAGGCGGAGAGGCAAGCTCCAAATGCGAAATTCGATTACGGCTTCGGGGGTCAACGTCGGGGAATTAGGAAGCAGATGTCGGGTTTCTTCTTCCCTGTAAGATTACGGCTTCGGGGGGTCAATTGGTTGTGTTAAAGACGACGTAGGGAAAGACAGCTTTTGGGCTAGGCAGGAGTCCTAAATGCTTGCACTGTGGCAGACTGGAGGGCTGGCGTTTTCGGAGGGCGCGGTACACGAATCGGGGTTTCAGGGTGTGTTGGCTTGGGCGGATTCAGGTCCCGGGATGTGTAGCTTGCAAGGTAGGACCGAGTGTTGTCCAGGACATAATAAGCTGTGTTGGGGATTCTTCTTGCAGGGTTTTTTTTCCATCTCCACTTCCGGTCGACACTTCCTCTTCCCTGCTGAACGGCTCCTCCGGTTTCAGTGCTCCCGCTCCGGGCTTAACAATGCTCGTGCCAACGATCGCAGCTTCCAACTTGGGGGCAGGTCCCATCTTGGCCCGCTGCTGACTTCCTGCGTAAGGCAATGCGGCCACTGCAGTGCCACGCCCTATTAAGATAGCACTCCTAAAGTCCTAAAGTACTCAAAATGAGTTCCGCTTAGAGCCTTGCATGCTTATTTACAATGTGGCTGCTTGGGGTCTTAGCCTACTTCGCCTTGTCCTAGTGTCGATGTGACTTGAACCCGAGTGTTCCATCAGAGACAGCATGCCGTCATGCATGGCCGCCTCCTCACGCTCCCCATCCAGTGCAAGAGAACCCGATGATGTATAGTTAGCTTCAAGTGGCGTAGCAACATCGCTTTAAGCCACATCCGAACTGGAGATTCTTGCATTCTGTTCCCGGACACGATGATTCACCGGATCCACGATGCGGAACCTGCGCAGCCAAAATCCTGCTAAGGTAATGTATGCTCGATTCCCTTCCAGCCTACTCTGAGCTCAACTGTAACAGCGATGACATACATGGGGCTGAGTGCTTGCTCTGAGTCCCGCTTCAACTCGCCCTGACCAGCCCGAAGGTTGAAGCCCTGACAGCCTCGGAAAAGCCCTGCAAGCCGTGGACCTTGTCCAAGCCCCGAGGCGCGGACGCTGCACTGACGCCACAGTCATCTGGGCACGAGGAGAGCTGATTGGGGCTTCTGGTTGTGTTTCCCCATGTGCTTGAGCTGATGTGCGCTTTCTAGCTTTTGCTCTCCCATCAAGCTAGCAGCACCCTGGCGCAATGACAGCGACGAAGAAGCGTGCCGTTGGAAAGCAGGCAGAGCCACAGCCTGTCGGCACCATTGTGCCAGTGAACAACCCAACTTTGCTGAAGATTGCAGAAGGGATGAAGCTGCTGGTCTCATGTTCTTGTAGGTTTGCATTGACAGATGTGAGAAGCAATAGACCCATGATGTTTCAGCAAAGGCTCCCCCATGTCGTGGAATTCATGAAGAACATCAGCCCGGCAACACCAGCGGGAGGAATCCAGGAGTTCAGCCTGGACGATTACAGGGCGAGCATGAAAAGCGTGCAAAACTACACATGTGTGGTGCCTGTGACGGCGATTCCTCCTTATGCAACGGTGCACAGCGGCCTCATCCCCAGCCTCGCGTCCATCAAGAATGTCCAGGACACTTTCTGGTCAGAGGAAGGCCCGGGCGCATGTTTTGATGCAGTCAAGCATGATCGCTGTTTGTTTGGCGTCAGTTAAGACTTGAATTACCAAGGACAGCTGATGTTCTCAGAGAGCATCAGTGTGGTGGCTTGGAGCGCGAATGAGCGCCCGGGCGAGAAGGAGTTGGTTCCTTTGGACAAGGACAGCTACAGGATGGGGTTCTGGTTTTCGCTCTTCGAAGCGGAGTCGCCGAATCGCCTGGACGCCTTGAGATCCATCTCCGGCTCCATGCGTGTGACCTTCGTTCTGGTTAGTTCACGAGAAGACATGGAACGCAAGAGGTGGAAGCTCAGCTCTTCGAGCTCGGCTTTGGCCGAGAACATGGTTTTGCTTGGGTACAAAAGGCTCCTGGCCATTTATGACCTGAAAGAATCCTTGAAGAGCTGGGGGAAGGACGCCAGTGACCGCGCTGCTGCTTGCCATGAGTTCCATCCCGAACCCCTGTTGCCGCCATGATTGTTTCGAGAGATGTGTTTTTCTGGGGAACGTAAGGTTTCTGCCTGGCTGGAACGTGAGAAGATCTACATGAAGGAGAGCGTCATCGCATCCATCTGCAGGATTCGAAAAAGGATGGCCGAGGCCAAGGCCGACATTGTCATGGATCAGGTAGAAGAGATCTTGAAGGTTGTGGATCATCCGTTGGCCAAAACCGGCACTTTGGAGAAGCTGACCAGCATGACCAAGCTGGCCAACGCTCCCCTGCAGAACGAACTGCTGCTGTTTGTCGTGTCCGCACTCATGGTCCTCTTCAGGCGAGGGGCTGGGGTTGGATAAAGTTGGTAACGCTGCCATTATTGGCCATTGAATGCTGTGATCAGCCAGGTCCAAGACTCTCGGCCTGGAGGCGACTCGCGAGACGCTGGTGCAGCACGCTCGAGCGGCTCTGCTGGCCAGGAGGATCATCAACTACATGCTGATGAAGCTGAAGCCGCCCGGCCCCGCGGAGGAGAATCCCAGAAGCCCTGCCGGTTTCCACAAGAACTTCCTGTCCTTCGAGAACTTTGAGTCCAGTCGGTTGGCGGACGAGTGCTCCGATCACACGTGGCTGGCAGGGCTGTATGGCTACCAGCGCGAGGCCCTCCCACAGCTCAAGCAGTTCCTTGTGGGAGATTTGCAGATCTACAGCGTGCTCATCAAGCTGTGTGACAATGATCCCCTGGTTCCAGCCGAAGTTGCCCTACAGCAAACGTCTGTCATGAAGCTGGTGACTTTGAAGGAGCTCCTGGACATGCGTGAGCCACTTTGCTGTGCATGTGATCGATGCGCGAGTCCCTCCTCCTGACGTGTTCATGTGCAACTCAGGAAGGAGCTTCGCCCTCCAGAAGATGAGCCCGCGCCTCCATCTGAGCCTGCAGAGCCTGCGCCGGTGACCATCGAAGAGCCGGAGAAGAAGGCAGAGGAGGCAGGCATCATCCAGGAGCAAGAGGAGATTCCCCCCGCCGCTGAAGCTGCCCTTCAACATGCATGCATGCCCTTTGTTTCTGTTCCTGAGTCATGTCTCACTACGTCTGTGCAAGGTCATGGACGAGGAAGCGCGGGCTCCCATCCCTGAGCCAGACAATCGGGCCATGTTTCCATCGGTGATTGTCGCCGATTTCCAGTTGGACCTGCTGAAGCAGATGGAGGCCCCGACCTTGGCGAAGATGAAGACGTATGCGGACATGCGTCGGAAACTTAGCGCCCTCCAGACAGAGTGGAAGATATTCTGTGCCATGTGGCCAAGAGCACATACGTTTCTTGTCAGGCAGGGCCACCTATGTGAATCTCTCCATCGTCGGCAACAACATCACCTCCATCAAGGCGTCTGGGTTGTGCTTCGCCTTCTTTACTCACCACACATACATGGTTTCAACCACAACCCAGGGCGCGCTGATGGAGGCGGCGGCAGGCTGGCCGGCTGGGCGGCGCATTCTTGGCATTCTTCTGGTTGGCTCAAAGTTTAAATATTAGGAGGGGTTCAGAAGTTAGCCAAGGATCTTCCATCTTGACGGGAAGTGCTTTGGGGGGCTCAGTGCTAGCGCTGCAGCCCCCATGAACTTCTATCGCCAGTACTTGGCCTTCTTGTTCGACCCGGACAGCGGCGCCTTCAGAGAGGAGGACCTTCTCATCGTGTCGCCAGGGAACTCGCAAAAGGCCTACGAGGCGGCGAAGCGCGACTCTTTGCGTGCTTCTGAAGACTTTACCTTTTCCGGTTTTTTAAAGACTAGGAGGGGTTCAGAAGTCAGCAAAGGAGCTCTGGCGACATATGAAGGCGTCTCCCATCGTTTGTCAGCGGCGAGGCCTCCAGCAGATCCGGCTGATGAACACGAACAAGGAGTACCGCAACCCCCATCACCCTGTTGGCAAGCAGCGTCTTGGCCTTCTTCTGGTTGTCTCAGAGTCTCAGGACTTCAACTTCTTTGGCTTTCTATATGAGCTACAGGAAGGGTTCAGAGTCAGCCAAGGCGCCTTCGCGGCAGTTTCCCTGACCCGCTGGAAACAGTGTTGCTGCTGAAAGGCAAGCAATGCACGCTTCCATCCAGGGAAAGGAAGCACTTGGACTTGCCCGGCTGCAGCAAGGACAGTGGCATCGCCAACCTGTGCCTGGGCTGGTTTTGTTGTGTCGCATCTGTAGCGTGGATGTGTGGCACAGTTCAGCATATGCACTGTCATGGGATCGGTGAGCGAACGAGGCGCATGAAGACTGTGGACGAGATGGCGCTGCTGGTCCGCAAGTCCGTCTGGGAGGAGAACTTCTCCAAGGTGCTGGCGGCAAGCACTGATGAGGGCGGCGACGAGGAGGCCCAGGCCACTGATACCGCTGCAGAGCCCGTGCTGGAGGGACCGACCGAGGAGGTCGTGCAGTTTTGCCTTTTCGAGAGACCTGAGATGGTCTGCAGGGAATGGATCAATCTTTTTGGAGAGGAACGCTCACCGCACACTTCGGTGCAGAAGCAATCCTCCATCATGATCGACTTCTCCCCGGGAGCTGGTTCCATGGCACTGGCTTGTGCCAGAGATTTACATGTCTACTATGGACTGCTCCTTAGCTGCAGCTTCTGTTCTACTCCAAGTCGTTGAAGACGATTTATCTTGGAGACTTCTGTTTGCCAGGTGCTTCACAGCGTCGCAGCGGGATGTGATCTTTGACTCCATCCGCCTGACAATCATGCTGGAGTTGATCATGAACAAAAGGAATGGGTTTTCTACAAGCCGCTTCCTTTCCAGGGAGCGCTCCCTGGGCGGAACCAGTGCAACGGCTTCCATGACTTCGCCGGCAGACACTGATTCCAAGGCACGGTCTTGGACAAACTGACCGTTGAATACTGCAAATGTCCCGTCCCAGGCCGCCGCTGACAAGTCGAGTCCAGCAAAGACTGAGAAGAGCAAGACTGAGAAGAAGCGCAAGACATCCTCATCTGATTCAGACTCTTTGTCAGAGACTGAGGATTAGGCTGAAGCAAAACCCTTCAGCCCCCAAAACCTGGATCATTGAAGAGATCCCAGGTGCTTTTTGAATCACTGGCAGCTGGCATGTGCCTAGCCTTCGCCAGCTTTTCCGCTTAGCAGACAGCACTTCACGGAACCATGCGCCTTATGTGACGTGTTGCCCGGAGGCTCCCAACGCCCCTTCATTGACGGAATATAAACTCGAAGTCCGTTTCAGGATCACTTGGTAATTCAAGGGGTGCTCCTGGCTTCACACAGATTTCTTTCGAGAGGCTCTGAGCTTCGAAAGCTTGGATGGATGTCTCCCTAGCTCTGGAGCAAAAATCAGAACATGAATGCCTTCTGAAGACAAGGTCTTGAAGCATGCCTGGCAAGATCGGTGGCAACACCTGCGACCACGACAGTGTTTCGCGTCCAGCCCGTTTGAAGGATCGAAGGCTGTTGGATGCTGTGCATAGGGCATAGGGATGCGAGCAGTGTGTGAAGCCATTGTGCACAAGTTCGGCCGCACATTGATGGAAGTGCCAGGCTCAATTGCGTGTCCTGTTGCTTTCCTCTGTGACGTTGGTGTAAAACTCGCACTTGCGCGTGGATCCTGAGGCACCGAACGTGGCAAGCTATGTTCCTGACACTGTGAACATCCCCCAAATGCTGGATCGCGAGGAGAAGTTGGGCATCAGTGTGACAGACATGTGGCTCAATCAATGCCGAACTTCTGAGATGGCTCGAGTCCGCTACGAGAACCAGCGGGTGCAGCTTGCACCCCCTCAAGGCGTTCAGCACATCCTCGTCGCAGCTGAGATCGCAAAGGAGCTGCTGGACTTGCCCGACTTGATAGCAAAGTCCCAGGCGAAATTCCTTGTCCTCCTCTGCAAGAATGAGTCCATTACTTCACCGTCGAAGCTTGCTGGGTTGACATTGAAAGCATCAAGACAGTTGACCTTTCACCACGTCCCTCGCGGCGGCTTCAAAAGTTTCATTCTTTATGCGTCCGACGAGCAGCAAGACGTGACGGAGCAAATGGCGATGTACGACGAGATGGTTAGCAAGATCCTGAAAGATTTGCCTCTGCAAAAGGACAGGCTTCTGTCGAGTAGGGGTTACAAGGAGCTGAAGTGTCATGCTGAAGGAGCTTCCAGGAAGCGCAAGCGGCCAGAGGCAAATGCAGCAGGCGCCGATGACATCGATATGAAGGACAGTGAAAACAAGAAGAAGAAGGACGACGGGAATGACGTGGAACAGGGTGACAGCAAGGATGAGGACGGTGTTGACAAGGAAAAGCAAGCCTTGGAGAAACTCATCGGCTCTGTTCTTCCTGCAACATGTCGGAATTTGCAAGTTTTTCTTGGGCGCTTAGTAAGGTAGTCTGGTTTGGAAAATTCGATATGTTTTAAGGGCAAAGTAAGGCAGACTTTCATCCATCCAAGAGAGCAAGTAAGTTGCTCCGCGAGCAGCCTACCACGGCACGCCTCAACGGCTATGTGATGATGGAAGCATTGCAGCAGGACACGTCTGCTGTTTTCATGGCCTCCAGTTCCAAGCTGCTGAAGACGAGACGCATGGTTATGGAATCCAAGGAGATCTCAAACGAGCTCAAGCTTCCATCCCTTGCTTGTTTTCAAGACAAGCATAAGCAAGTTAAGGTGCGAGAACTTTTGTTTGCAGATATGCTGAAGCTCAAACTGTGGCAGCCTGATTTCTTGAACGTTTCCTTTCTGAACCCTGGCCCAGCTCGCGCAGCAGTAAACCTGTTGCCGGCGAAGCCAGCAATGCTGGCAATCTTCATGTCGCTGCTAAGCACGCGTTCTGTGTACTGACCTGAAGTATCTGCCTCTGCAGCAGACTCAGCGGGATGATTTGAGGAACGGAGTGGCAGCGAGATAAAAGTGCTAACGAGTTTGCGGCAAGATACTCCATGCATTTGAGAGTCGCAGTCTTCCTCATGTGCGCCTGGGAAGGGTGAACCTATGCAGCAAGTTGCGCACATGCCCTCCTAGAGCTTGCAAGCTTGGTGTGAACATGCCGCACCCCGTCCGTACTTCAATCACGACCAGGACAGCTGGATGCAGCACAATGGCTTGGGCCTCAGTGACAACCAGTTAGGTCATGTATGTCCGGCAGCTCTGCTGGTGTGGTTTGGTTTTGAAGTTCATCTGGGTAAGTGCCAACTTGGTGTGCAGGTGGTTATTTCTTACGGAGATTGCCTTGTGGTAGCATTGACATTTCGCGTACAATCGCACAGGCTTTTCAGGGTTGAAGAAGGGCTTAGGGGTGTAGGTAACATGCACGATAGCCAGGGCGGCTGGGTCGGGGCGGTGAAGCCATCATTCACAATTCAATACTGAGCTCAGCTCCCAGATCCGGCTACGTACGAGCGTCGCACATGTATCCGAGGAAACCACGGCTCCGAAACAGCAGGACCTTCGGTGAGAACGTTCGAACGAATGCTTCAGCTTCACATACTAGCTTTCCCATGGAAGAAATAGGGTCTATTGGGTTCAGGGTAAAGGGTTTGCTGCAGAGTTCGCCAAGAGTGACAGTGAGCGACTGCCCTTGCAAGGCTCGGTGGTCTGCGGGTGACAAAGCCTGAAGCCCGGTGTTTGGGGCAGGTTGCCTTCGGTCTTTCCCTGACCCACCGGTCATAGTACATGGGGTGACTCGATAGGTGGCAGGCTTCTTCTAAAGGGATACTTGTTGCGGTACAAGCTTGCACATGACAACCGAATTAAATAAGAACGTCGGCGAATATCCGAACTCTTGGTTCAGCTCCCTGGGTTCATTCATTGCAACCCGGCACTTTGCAGTAGATTCCCGCTCGAGGCTGTAGAGGTTTGCTTCAGAAGAGTTCGGTTGAGCGAATTTCGGGGGAAATGCATCCCTGCCCAAACCCAAATCCGGCTTCAGGGCTCCCTCAGTGTAGGCTCCGGGCAGAAGACACACACATGCCGTGGTGCTCACATGCCTTTCTTCGATCGCATGAGCAGCTGAAATGTCGCGCTTGCAGTGGTGCCAGCAAGGGAAGCCACCTAGAAGAAGTTTTGTAGAGACCATTCCATCAGAGATTTGTTGACTGAAGACTGTGTTTGTGTGCTACAGTGTGTTTGTAAGTAGAGTTCCATGGCACAGACAAGGTCATCATAAAACTGGACAGATAATTTTTTTATATTATCAGATAGTACTAGGCATGGCTGCCGGTGCCCGGGACGACGAGAGGTTGCTTGTAGACTTGGGGAGGCCGCAACCTGCAATCTGGGCTGCTGACCACGGGCTTACTCTTGCAGTATCTTAGTTCTTGGAGCAAGGCTGTTTTTGAATTTATTTGCTGGTCGAAATTGGGTAGAGTTGAACAGCATGGTACTGCTTTCAGGTAGCAGCTCCCAAACCTGCGAATGCAGCGGGTGAGAGACAAGACAGCGACGCGGATCATTGGCGAAGTTGCCAGACCCAGAGTTCTTGCTGTAGATGCGCTTTCGAAGCAGGCATGGCAGGAATGCTGCGGAAAGGAGCTGCGAGCTTTGGGGAGCCAAGGGCGATAAACAGTTGGGCAGAGCGGTTCACATTCATCCATCCGACCGCCGGTCGCAAGACCTGGCTAGTGGCGAGGCCTTCATCATGGGGCGCTTCGTTTGCCATGGGCTGCTGGGTCTGCTGTCATTTCGAACCTCCAAAATACCGATCAACCTTCGGGCGGCTCGAAGTTGCTTCAAGGACCTTTGCCATGCATCAAGAAAGTTTTCTCGTAGCAGTATGGCCTATATGTTTGGATGGACTTCGGTGAACAAAGGAATACACTTGGACCATCTTCGTTTGCAAAGCATGAAGCCAGTGCGTCACATCTGAAAGCATTGGAGGCAATGAAAAATCACTTCAGCGGCGAGCCCGCTGATGAGGGACTGCTTACTGGAGTTTCGGAAGCTGTGCCCCGCATCGACAGGTTCTTCATGGCAGGGCTCGTCGTGGCACGCCATGACTCTTTTGCCGATTACACTGAGTACATGAGATCTTTGCGCTTGGTTTCCCCCTTGCCGATGGGAGAACAGGCTGGCGACATCAGCAAACAGACCTGTGCAAGGTTGGTGGTATCGATGGCGCGACCTTTGTACGATCACGACGTTGCTGTGCTGAGAAAGTCGACCATGGCGTCCATAGCCTATGACGTCAGGGACGACCTGATGTTAGTCATAGGAAGAGTGTTCTTTGAAGGATTGAATAGTCCCCATCTTCCGCGTGTTGGGGTGTACGAGTTCCTGGTCGGTTGTCAGCGCGTGGGCGGGACTGGTGGATCTCGTGGAAGCGCGGCATCAGTGGAAAGAATCTGCAAGGACCTTTGCCGAACACCTCATGGCAGGGAGCTACGCTTGGATGAAGATCTTTGGGCACACTTTCAGGCAGGAGGGAATCAAACGCACGCAGACGATCCAGTCAAATGTAGCAGGTATCAACATTATAGAATCTAAGAAGGCAGACTTCATTAAGGAGCGTTTGCTGGTACTTTGGCAGGCGATTGTCACAAGTGGAGTCTCCGACGGAGGCCCCAGCGAGCAGGGAGCACTACCCATCTTGCAGAGCCTCGGTTTTGCGTTCTTGGGCACTTGCCTATCCAAGTTGTAGATCAGATGACCGACTTCTTGAACCCAAACTAAAAGCACCCGCTCTGGCCAGGAACGAAGTCTTCAGCAACATGAACCTCATCTCCCGGGATCGGGCTCACCGGTCCAGGAGCGTCATAAAGAATTTGTTCGACGCCCTCAACAGCTTGTGTGACAATCTTTTGTCTGCCTTTACAACGGGCGAGCAATCCTTGGCGAGGATGTTGAAGAGCCTAGCTTGCAGCTAGCATACTGTAGTATGCCATGCAAGCCTCCC